AGATGCCTAAACAAAGAAGGTACAATTGATCTGAAAATTACTTTTTAAAATACTCTTAAAGATTTTGGTCAGAACTATAATTTTGGCTAGAACTATAATTTGGGCATTCATGTCTTACACTCTGGGAAGATGCACTCCGTCCTAGAGATATAAAATGCTGGGGTAGGAAAGGTGAGAGCAGGAAGAAAGAAACAGGCAGAAGAAAAATATTATTTTCTTAGAATTTTTCCAGTTGCCCACTCCCTTTCAGATCTCAAAATGTGCAAAACACAATCCTTTATGAGTAAATAAGCATAGTTGCACCTAATTTTGGTGTTCATAAATTGTTACTTTGGAACTTTGATCACTATAAAATAAATTTTTTATTCTTTCAAAACTTTTACACTCCTAACTGTACTTAATCCCTTAAAAACATTTTTCATGGATTTATTACTTTTAAAATTATAAATTTGATAATTGAAAAGTACACAAATCATAAGTGTACCTCTCAAAGAATTTCCTCAAAGTAAACATATGCATGTACTATCCCCTATACCAGAGAAGAGACCATGACCAGCATCCCCAGAAGCCTCTCTCATTTCTCTTTCCAGTCTCTATCCCTCAAGGGTGACCACTATCTTCACTCTCTCACCATCAATTACAGTTCATGTTTTTGAACTTCACGTAAATGGAATCACGTAATGTCTAGCTTATCTGGCTTCTTTCTCTCAACTTTATGCTGTTTTGTGTAGCAGTTGTTTTCACTGAACATGAAATGGAATGTAAGCTATTCCATTGTTCAATTTGCAGAGTGTATTCATCTCTGGTTTAATTTTTCGAACAGGGAGCTGATCCAGTTCAAATGGAAGAGTTGTTTAGAGTAAGCACACAGAATGTGACATGGATTAGAATCAGAATTCTTGAGTTGGAAAGGAACTTTAAATGACATCTAGACATATACCCCCTCCCCTATCCAGCTTTGATACAATTATTCCTTCTAAACATTGCTCTGGTCAGATCATTTCCCATTCATTGTCGGAACTTGACCCGGTATTCAGAATCCTGCCGCATTGAAGCAGGAACACTTAACCATCTCTTGCAGCCTCTTAGCAGCCCCTTCCCTGAGATGCTCTGGGCTGGGCCTGCCATCTGGTGGCAGCTCCAGGGATTGGACTGACACTTGCCTTTTCCGTCATAAGTAGGCCTCAGCCTTGAGCTCCCTTTTTCTTTGCTTTCTACTCCATTGGGCCAGATCCTCACTTTTTCATGAGTATTTTCCTTAATCTCATTCCTTAATTGTTTCTTACGCTATTCTTACCTTGTTATCTTAAGAAAATATCTTTGTTTTTTCCTCTCCTGTTTGACAAGGGGAACTTAAAAAAAGACGTTATAAAAGGCCTCTGCCCATTCACTTCTAAAAAACTCTTTGGTGTTCAAGAAGTCTTCAGAAATTTCTTTCAGCTACTAACCATTCTCATATTAAGGTTGCTTTTTCTCAGAACCAGTGTTCAATATATTTTTTTAAATGATTCACATTGCAGCAATATTTTTTTTCATATGCAACATACATTTTAGCTCCTTGATGGGTTAATTTTACTTTTTAAAAATATTTTTCTGTATTTTTAGTTTTCTAAAGGAACATGTTATTAAATAGGAAATATAATAAACGTTATTTAGGGAGAGAAAAGGGGCTTTATGGCAAATAGGACCTTTTATTTTACTTTCTTTTTATATTATTTTGTACTCCAAGTTTTCTTTGAAAAAGCGTAATTTTAATAGAGAAAAAAGGGGGTGATTCTCATTTTCTTGAGCAGAAACAAGAATTGGGGCAGAAAGCTATCTGGAGAATGACTTACTTTGCCCAGTAGTTTTTTGAGGCCCTATTAACCAAGGATGCCCAGTACACAGTGGAGAATTTTCTCACAGTCCTGAAACATGTTACCTACAAGCTCTGGCATATCTACCCCCAGTTAAAACAGTGCAATAGCCAGGTACAGTGATCAGCAAGGTTTGGCCTAAGCCTTTGCTTAGACTAGAATGCTTGCAATAGCTTCCCAATGGACGGAATGAAATTCTAACTCCTCAAAAGGTTTTTGTAGGCCAGCCTTGGAATCCGTTTGCTTGTAATTTTTTTTTCCTCTGAGAGAATGCATTCATTTGTTCAGCAAACATTTATTATGTGCAATTATGTGCAAGGCGCTGTTTTAGATACAAGTATAAGCATAAGAAATAGCTCCTGTCTTCCAGGTGCTTACAGTCTAGAAAGGGAGATGAGGCATGTATGCAAATAACTATCATACAGGATAATTATAGTTTTATCATGGAGCTCACATGCTGTGCTGTGAGGAAATGCACTGGAGTGGAAAAAGGATTTAAAATGTATATGTTGCCTCAACTTGAATGCTAAGGGAATGAGATATACAAAAATATTCAAGCAAAAAGATTATATAGTCATAATTAGTTTTATACCTAGGCTAAAATATTTTAAATAATCCACGTTACTTGCTAATGATCTGACTATAAATTGTTATAAGTATCACTGCGTTTTCTCACCGTTCTATGTAATATTAAAGTTTTTCTTTTAAACAAAGAAACATTTAGTAGCATAAAAAGCCTTTATTATAATATAGTAAAACAGAACTTTACATTTATTGGACAAGCAAATAGTGATGTTATGTTTTCTGCTCTCCTTTTCTTCTCAATCTCAGGAAAAACTGATAGACTCTCTTAGTAAAAAAATTAATCAAGTATACAAAGTCTGCATTGGAGATGGTGAGGTTGGCAGCCTCAACCCAGTTCAAAAGCTGGTAAAAGTAGAGTCTCGCCTGGTGGAATTGAGTGACCTCATTGAATCCATTCCCAAAGAAAACGTGGAGGCAATTGAGAGGATAAAACAGAAAGAACGACGGCAAAAGTACAATGTCTTATATAAGTGAAGTGAATGACTGAATGAGTAGCTGTTTTTGCTTGGATTCCACATTTTAGCCAGTCTTTATTATTATATGGCAAGGATGACCATACAGAGATACTGTGGGAGGAACCAAACCCAGGCTTGCCCTCCTCGTAAAGCTATTTAGTGTGGAGACACAGTCATCAAAGAGTCATATAAAATAAATGTGTTATTACCAATGGTGCTTGAGCACTGTGAAAGAAAGGAACCAGGTGAACAAAGTTCGCCGGGGCAGCTGATCTAGATTAGGATGGGAGAGCGGTGCTTTCATTTGGAAAAGTGAATTTTCAAGGTGAATATTCACTACTACTAAGAAAATTTTTGAAGAGCTATCATGTGGAAGGAGAAATGCACTTGTGAAAATCCCAAGGCATAGATTAGAAACCCTTCACTGGAAAACTGCAGAGACACTCAATCTATGTAAGAATTGTCTGAAAGAGCCATGCAATGAAGGTTTTCCTGTGTGTAACTGCTGTAAATAGCATTTACGCACTAACTCATCTATTCTTCAAGACAAGCTCATGAGAATTATCATTCCTGGAAAATACTGCACCTCCTCCCCTCCCCCACATCCTTACTTAGTTTGGGGTCTTTCAGGAGAATTCACCAATTTACAAATAATTTCCATACCAAGTTAAGTAAGGATTTTATGTATGTAGTATTTATGAGACAATGATTATTATATGATCCCTACTATTATATGGCACACTGAAAATGCTTATAAGTAGAATATATTCATGTTATAGCAAAAAAAAAAAAAACATGTTGGGAGGCAGACTAGTACTATGGCTCCTAGTACAGGCATGAGAGCTGACCTGCCTGGGTTCAGTCCAGGTTCCACCATTTACAACTTTTGTGACCTCAAGCAAGCTGCATAACCTCTCTTAAACTTCAGCTTATCTGTAAAATGGCAGTAATAATGGCAGTAATAATTTGTAGGGCTGTTGTGAGAATTAAAGGATCTATGTAAAAGCACTAAAGCATGTTTGGCACATGGTTAAGCACTCAAATATTAGCCATTTATAGGAGATATTTTGTTATCTCTTACTTATATTTTTGGTGTATGGGAGACATTGTTTCCCCCATATAAAGATGAAGTCCAGAATATATTAAGGCGATCCTGATGGAATTTTATCAAATATAAAGCAAATTTTTTAAAAACTGTAAGTGAAAAATGACTCCTTCCATAACATAACCTGAGATTAATTACACTAGTAATACTTGCATCTTTTTTACAGTGGGAAATGGTCATCAAAGTGTTATTTTCAGTAGTGATACAAGAAATCTAATTCTAATTGTTTATCATTCTTATCAAAGGGAATTTTAGTTGATTTTCCCCATGGTTTGGAGGCACCTAACATGATACTTAATTTTGCATAAAAAATGTTCGGTAACTGTTACACTTAAAACATATCCATAAAATAGCCAGCACTTATTGAGTGCCTATTTTGCACTTGGCATTGGAGTAGATCGACTGCACAGGTCATCTCACTTATCTTCGTAACAACCCTAACAAAAACAAGACAAATAGCATTTCTTGGTCTTAATTTGAGAATTCCATTCAAAAAGATTAACTGGAAAATACACTTTTTGTGGTAATTCACTGAACTATATATTTGTGATTTGTGTACTTTTCTGCATAGTTTATACTTCAATAAAAAGGTTAAAAAGCGGCGGCGGGGGGGCAGTGATAACTGGAAGTGAATTCACATGGCTGGTGTACAGATAAACTGTAAAGTGCTGAAATGTGAATGGAGTGACAAGAAGGCTTTGCTGAGGTGCTTGTTTTAGACCAAGATCAGGATAGACTTTTACTTCCTCTAAAATGGTGACATGCAAATTTCTTCGTATTTCAACACAAACAGGATCTGTTGTTGAGATTTCACCTGAATATTCAAAAGCCATAGTTATGGGTAAAGATGAATTATTATTTTCATTTAACCTTAAAGTAAATCTTATAATATTTAGATCGTTCATTACCGAATAGTAATGACGTAGATCTTTTTTCCTGTCTATGATTTATAGTTAAGAACATTTTCCCCCTCTTAACAGGCTGCGTGAAGAGAAAATGAAAGAAAAACAAAGACACCAGGAGGAAAGGCTAAAAGCTGCACTGGAAAGAGCGGTAGCACAACCAAAGAAAAAGGTTTGTATTTTGTTATTAATAGGTCCAGCTACATCAATGTGTGACTCCTGTGGTATAAAAACAAAATACTTAATTCATCTACCTTATCCAGGTTGAACTGTAGTGAAATAATCTTTCTTGGCCACAGCTTCAACTGGTCTCTCTCTGGTTCCTTGTTATTTTTAGATTAATTCAAATTACTAGTTAAATTCTCCATTAGACCCACTTTTTAGTAAAAGAAACTTGTCCCCTCCCCTCTTTTTCTTTAGCTCCAGGTTCATGAAACTAGAGAATTTTTTTTTTTTTAAGTTTGAAGAGGTAGTACAAGCATATGGTTTAAAGTTCCAAAGGTACAAGAGTATTCAGTGAAAGTCATTCTCAGTTCCTGTCCTCCCTGGAGGCAACTACTGCTAAGTTTCATCTGCATCCTTCAGGAAATATCCTATTATTTGTATATATATGCTTCTTCTTATAAATGGTAGCTATGAATCTTGCTGCTTTCACTTAAATAATGAGACAGTGTACCTAGAGAATTATATATAACCGAAAGGGTCTTCTAATTCTCACGCTGTAAAAATAATGAGATTAATAGTTGAAGTTAAAATGACTTACCCAGTGTCGCCACAGATTTAGCAGCAGAACCAGGACCAGAAGCCAAGGTTCTTTATATCACGGGATTACCTATAATAAGTTTGGGACTGGGAAGTCAATGAGTGCTTATGGTCCATGCCTCTACACTAGGTGTAGAGGGCCTTTTGTTTCTACCTGCTACTCTTCCTCCTTTGGGTCAGGGTCTGAAATATAGTCCAGGAAGCCAATTTTATGGTTATATGATGTGGAAAGCTAATGTGGACACTGATTCTTACCACAGTAACAGCTAACCCGCAGTGAACGCTTATTGTGTATTTCACAACTTTTGAGGTATTTAAAAAAATTCTGAAGTATGATAACAATACGTATGTCAAAAAGTTATTATCTTATTTTATTTAAACAAGCATTTCATTTTTAAAAGAATCTGTACTTTTCTAGTTCAACTCTTCCTGTAAACACCTGACTTGTTTTCTTCCTCCCAAGGGAGAATTAACCATTCATCTCCCTCCAACATGTACATACTACATACTAAACCCACAAAATTGAAATGATTATTTTTAAATATATCTTTCCTTCTAGACCATGCATGAGTTTTATGACTTTTGTATCCCCAATGCCTGGCGCATAGTGGATATTCAATAAATGCTTATCGAATTAACAGACTGAAAATGAGAATGAAAACAAAAACTTGAAATTGAAAAAAAATGACCTGATAAGTTGATGATGTATAAAGACCTGTGATAGAAATTCTTACCCAGTTGGGACACTTCATCACTGGAAATTTTCTCAGACAGTAATAACAACAAAAGTAGCCAAAGGAGATCACTGACAGTGGAGAAAAAATTCTGACTTTAGAAAAGGAATTCAGGGATTCCAGTCCCATAAGAACATTTTTGTTGGTATAATGATGACCAAATATGTCAAACATTCTGCAGTGTAGGAGATAGTCTCATATAGGGATACTGCCCTTTTGAGACACAATGGAGATGCCCCGTCAAATTTCTACACAAATTCAGATATAAAAGCAAAACAAAACAAATATGATTATGGGGAAAAAAGACTAAAAGAGGAATATAATTAGTAATGATATACTTGAGTATATGCCCCAGAGAGAATGAACCGGTTTGAAAGTGAAATTAGGGATTTCCCTATGCATGAGGGCACGTCCTGGTGGGAACATCTCCAAGAGCCAACAGGATTACTAGCATTTAAGAGGATAGTACATGGTTTTCTCAAGTTTTTGTTTAACAGGATTTTAAAATGTCAGTCAATTGGTACTCAGCAGAGGAAAGCAACCTCTTCCAACCAATGAAGGAAAACTTGCTATGGCCCTTACTGAGAAATCAAATATTGGCCTTAAACATGGTGCTTTTCTAGGCTGACCATGTCTGAAACATGCTATACAATGACTTTACCTAAATCTCCCCTACTTCCCCATAAAACCATAAGTTTCCCATAAAACTGCTCTGTCTTCTGCATACTAACTATGGTGCTCTAATTGTTGCTTAATTTTGCCTAACATGTTGGACGTCCATTAGGTTATCAATCCTTTTGTAACTGATTTACTGTTTTAAACCATATTAGTCCTTGGAAAAGTCAAGTTAATATTAGTATTTTACTTATACTTCAATTGGAAAAGGTTATGTTGAAGAATATTAAGTATTTTGTCTTTTGTTTCAGCTGGGAAGACGACTTATCTATCGTTCAAAACCTCCATCTGGTAACAAACAGGAACTACTTTTAGTCAAGGATACAAAATCAAAATCAGTAGAGGATGAATATTTTTTCACTTGAATAGGAGCAGTAAGATGTTTATTACCAGAATGTTTTAGGCATATTTTATAGATTTTGGTTTTCAATAATGGCAATATTCTGCCCCATATGCTGGCCTAACCAATTTGAGGAAGATAGGTCCTTGTTCAAAAGGTTATAGGATTGGGAAAGGGAGTTATTTTCTTTTGTTGAAGATTTTTATTATCCATATTTTAAGTATTATTCTAAACCTTATATAACTATACTTTGAGTTGTACCAGTTGGGGTTACACATAGAAAGCTACTTTACTGATGTAACTATATGGTGAATGACCATTAAATTGCAGTAGTGGCATTCTCTGACAATGTAACACTTTAAATGATCTATTTTTTTTTTTTCAAGCAGTGCACAGGAAAGTTCATAGTACACATTTTATCACAGTGGACTATATATTTTAACAAGGTACAACTCTAAGATACCATAAGGGTTTTGAGTTTAAAACTTAAATGAAAACCACTAGGTTATGTTCTAAGAACATAACTCCAAGACTGGTTTTTAAATCACATTAAAGAGTTCTGTTCCAAAAACTTAATTCTTTTAGGTGAACAGACCATGTCGTCAGCCTATCAGTTTACAATTTCTGTTGTGTTCTATATCCACAATCATTTTAATTTTCAGGTGATTTTTCAATTTTAGCTATAATATGTATACATTATTTAGCTTACACTGATATGAAATTAACATAGTTTGTCAACTACTAAGTAAAACAATATATATTCTTAGAAAATATTTAACTTTATATGTGTCAAAATGACTCAAAAATAACTTTAAAAGAATTAGTTGCTTTTAAAAGGTCTCAGTTAATACATAAATACAAGAGCTGAAATTCATGTTCATAAACATTTATAATGCATATAAATAATTTTCCCTTATAGAAAAAAAAGCAGAATAGTGGACTTACAAAAGAAAATCAACTTGAATGAAGTTGGGTGACTTTTAAAGCATTACTCCTCTGAAAAATTTTTTCAATTGTTTCAACATTTGAGCTTTGCATACAAATATCTGAATATGAATAGTTCACCAGTCAAGTTGAAAAACAAACATCTTTATTGTCTAGAAATATATATAAAAAAGATTCCCCACAAAAGAGGCTATTCTCTCATTTCCCCATCTTCTTCCTCTTCTTCAACACCCCTGATATAAAGCACATTATTACACCTGTAAATAAGAGAAAAACAGTCCATTTTGTTGTTCCAACTAGAAACCATATAAGAACTGATTTATGATTACATTTTTTTCATTACAAACTACTGAATGCTAAATTTACAACACAGCATTTTTTTCTTTCTCTTTAAAAAAAAAGGTTTCTACCTCAGATTTGTTAAAAAGCACATGGCACTTACTTTACCATGCAGTTGTTATAAAATGGTATCTTTATGATCTTCCAAAGGGAATGACTAGAATTTGGAGGTGTAAAGTTAGTTCTGGAAAATGAATATAACCAAAATCCCTAACAGCAGCCAGACCCAACTAAAATTAAACACCAAGTTCCTACAACTAAATGCACTGAAAAAAGTTACAGCTAAGAATTAGAAGTTTAGTATCAACACTAGAAGAATCTTAAGGATGAACAGCTCCAAAATATTTAAATCTTCTTTGACAAGTTTAACAATTTCAAAGACTTTTATAGTCTAGTTGTAGAATATTATGTTATATTAATGAAAAGTAATTCTGAAATCGAGGCACTAAATTAATTTATTTAAATGGGTATTTCTAATGTTCACCAGTAACTCCTTATATATATTACTGCTGTTTTGTTTACCTTATTAAAACTTCACCCAGATGTCCAGACAATGCTCCATCTATGTATTCTTCTGTGTTTGCAAGCTTTAAATAAAAAGAAAATATACTGGTATAATACAGAAAGAAAATACTATAACACACCTAATATTGGTGAGAACTTATTAACTGAGGCCTTTCTATATCAACAACTCATATTTATCTATAATTAATATCACCACTGTAGTACTTTTTGGTTTCATAAAAATATTCAGTAAAGTTAACATTGATGGATATAGAACAAATATGTAATAAAGCTTATTGGAACAATTTTTAAAATCTCAGTTGTGTAATATTTCTATTCGATATTAAAACAATGTGCTGAGGAAGGCAGTCTCCCAATTTATGAATAAATTGAGATTAAAAAGTCTTCTAAAAATTCAGTTCCAAAGAAGCAGACATCACTCTTTCTTGGGGAAGAAACATTATATACTGCAGTATCACACTGAGGAACCCAAAGGGTGTACAAAAGCTATGGCTAAAATACTAAATACTTTAATATTAGTCACCAACCAAACCAAAGAATTGAATGCTTTTTAAATTATGTGCTAATAAACAGGGAAAAACAAGTTCTTAAGAAGAGGTTAAATAATTAAGAGTGACCTTCCAAATTTTCAGTTATAAAAGACATAAATCACAGGGACATAATTCTTAGCACAGAGAATATAGTCAATATCATAACTTTGTACAGTGACAGATGGTTATTAGACTTATTGTGGTGATTACTCCGTAGAGTATGTAAATGTTGAATCTCTATGTTGTACAACTAAAACTAAATATGTCAATTATATTTCAATAAAGAAAAAAAAAACTTGTTAAAAAAATTTGATCCTAAACACCTTAGGAATTGGGATTTGAAATTCATTCATAGATATTTAAACTCAACATTTTCATTACTAAATTGTGGCTGGTGAGTTACATATGTATTCTGTGATAAACATTTATTTATGAAGGGGATCTTTTAGGGACTTAAAGTTTGATGAAAGCCTTCATGTTTCAACTGTTAAATGTTAAATATTTAAAAGTTAAAAAAAAAAGAGTACCTTTATAGTTAGGGAGCTATATTATTTATAATTTTACATCAAGATATTTAGCTTTCCTTCTACATACAGGTATAAATTTTACTTGTAATTTATAAAAATCAAAATCTGTGCTACCTGGGACTCACAAAAGAAATGAACAGGCAAGAAAGGAGAGGGAAGTTTCCTTCATTAGCTGGGCAAGTGGCAAAGGAAAAGAAATATAGGGCTCACGGAGAATGTAAGGTAAGGCATTTAAAACATGCTAATGAATTAATACTGCGACTGAATGTTATTCCCTCTCCAATAGAGAACAAAAAGTAACATCCTATGCCCAGAGAATAAGGTTTTGTCTGAAATATATGTGGTTGTTGAGATAACTAGTTTTGTATGGAACAGTTCTCAGTAATAATGTATAAATATCAACTGACTTTTTTTGTTAAAAGTGATTATTTATGGCAGATATTCATACTGCCAACTGATTTCTAAATTATATAATGTTCCAAAGCCTTCTACCACATTTTAAATAAAATCCAAAGTCCTTACTATCACTTAAAAGGATCTGTATGATTACCATTCCAACCATTCTATCATCCTTCCCCTAACACATTCTGCTCTGGCCTTCTTGCTGTGCTCTGAACACACCAATCATGTTCCTGCCTCAAAGCCTTTACTCTTGCTGTTTCCTCAAACTGGGATGCTCTCTCTCCAGCAACTCTTCAGCTGCTCACCCAATTCTGGTCTCTGCTTAAACTTACTGCCTCCTAGAGACTTTCCCTGGCTATCCTATCAACACGGCACACTTTTGTCATCCTATTCCGTTTCTTTTACTCCACAGCATCTATCATTACCTGATATCGTTACCCTCCTTGAGGGTAGGGACTTTTATTCATTGGTGTATTCGCAGTGCAAGGCACATAATAGGCACTTAATAAATATGTACTGAGTGAACAAACTCAAAAGCATCATCAATGTGGTTAGTCACTCAGATACATTTCCTAACTGACAGGCTCATTAGGAAGTTGTATCACTTTTAAAACCAAATATTTGGTGGGTACTCTTTATTCCTTTTACTGAGATATAATTCCCATAACATAAAATTCACTTTCAAAGTGTACAAGTCAATGATTTAAACTATATTCATAAAGTTGTGTAACCATCACCACTAAGTCTGGGACATTTTCAGCACAAAGGGTATATACTCTTCAGATTTTTCTATGGTCTTGGTAAATGATTCCTGCTTGGGGAATTTTCCAGGCCAAAACCATGCTCTATAAGAACTTTGGAGACCTGAGTATGAGTGTCATCTATTCAGGTGGTAGACTCTTAAATTAAGAAAAATCTTGGCTTTTTGCTATGAGTATTCCTATACTTAGTACTCTGCCTCCAAGTACAAGTACTATCAGTGTGGAATACCTGGAGTCATGGTTGGATTGAACACCTGTCTAGGTAACCTTTAAAATTCATCCATCTGCCATTAACCAGTCACATAAATACCTAAGTTTCAGGAAAACATAACCTCAAACTCTTTCCTCAAAAACCTGGCTGGAAACTACAATTAAGCAACAAAAAACCAAACACCCCAATTTAAAAATGGGCAAAGGACATGAATAGATATTTCTCCAAAGATTACATAAATGGCCAATAAGGGCATAAAAAGATCTCAACATTACTACTAATTAGAGAAATGCAAATCAAAACATTAGGAAGGCTATTGTCAAAAAAATAAGATAAAATAAAAAAATAACAAGTGTTAGTAAGAATGTGAAGAAATTGGAGTCCGTGAACATTACTGGTGATGTAAAATAGAGCGGCTGCTATGGAAAACAGTATGGCAGTTCCTCAAAAAATTAAACAGTCTACGGCCATGCCATCCTGAACAAGCTAGATCCCATCTGATCTCAGAAGCTAAGCAGGATCGGGCCTGGTTAGTACTTAGATGAGAGTCCACCTAGGAAGACCAGGTGATGTAGATGTTAAAAAAAAAAAAAAAAATTAAAAAATTACTGTATGCAATTCCATTTCTGAATATATACCCAAAAGAACTGAAAGCATTCTAGCAGATATCTGTACAGCCATATTCACTGCATTATTCACAATAGTCAAAAAGTGGAAATAATTCAAATGTCTACCAACTGAAGAATGGATTAAAATGCAGTATATATATGCAATGAAATACTATTTCAACCATAAAAAAGAATGAAATTGTGATACATACTGCAATATGGATGAACCTTGAAAACATTATGCTAAGTGAAACAGGTTAAAATAACAAATATTGTATGAGGTACCTAGAAGAGACAGAAAGAATAGTATTTGTCAAGGGCTGGAGGCAGGGGAAATGGGGAGTTAATGGTGATGGCTGCAGAACAATGTGAATGTACTCAATGCGGCTGAGTTGTACACTTAAAAATACTTAAAGTGGTAAATTTTCTGTTATACATTTTATCACAACTTTTTAAAAACTTGGCTGAAATATTTATAGAAGCTAGTGTTAACAGACATGCAGTCAGTTAATCAAGTCCTTTGGCTGCTTTGTCTTCTCCCTCAAGACATACTTTTATGGAATTACTTTGATGTTGTGCCTTGAGTATTCATTAAGAGATGTTAAGAATTTCACTTGAAAAATTTCTTTCAGAGCTAAGTGCTGGGAAAAGGTTTGCTTTTTCTGCAAATTAGTGTTACCCGTATAGCCTTATGAATCAAACATCTGAGTTCTTTTTACTTTAACCACTAGGAATCAAATCTGTGGCTAAACTTTCGTTTAACACCATGTCTCACATGTAGTTTTTTATAACACCCTTTCTGACCTTGACTTTTTATTTTTGAATTTTGCTCAATGTTTGTCAATTTAATTAATTGTATTCTTATAAATCACACTAAACTTTTGAGGAATAAGGTGAAGAAAAATAAATGCAATTTAATGATCTTTTTAACAATTTAGCTTACCTGCATGTTCATATAACCATCTACAGATACCAGGTAGCCTTTGTACTCCATTCCCCACTTAAGTTTCACCATTACTGGCTTTCCTGTTAATCCATTGAGGAAAGGTTTGGGATTGAGGGGCAAACTCTGCATAAAGAACAAAAAAAGAACTCAATTATTCTCCTGAGCTCAGCTCCCACTGCCTACTCTCTGCTACCGAAGCATTAATATTTTACAGTACCCAAATGAAGCAAACTCTTGACTCCCTCTCACATAATTTTCACTTTTATTTGTTGAAGAGCATCAGAGAAATTTAAATATCCAGTTAGCCAATTTTATCGTCAACACATCGAATCTTATAAAAGTATTCATTTTTCCCTTAAACAGTAAATAGCTAGTATATCTCAATCACTGTTCCAGGCTATAAAGAAATGAAGGTAAAGACAGTAAAAAAAAAAAATGCAGGCAACAGTCCCTGTCCTCAAGAAGCTCAAAGTAGGAGAGGGAAGAGCAAAACACATACAAATAGGCAATTACATTGCAATGTAGTAAGAGGAGATATGCTATGTACTAGGGTACCAAATCAATCCAGCCTTAAGAGGAAAGAAAAGGTTGTCTAACAGAAGTGCTGTCTCCATTTTATATGATGAGAGAGGCAGGATGAGAGGTTATTTCCATGGAGCTGGGGAAGGGGGACAGCTGTTCTAGGCAGAGGAGGCCACCTATGTAAAAGGAGGAAAGAATGAAACAACAAGGTGATGTTAGGGACATAACAATTTAGTGTTGCCAGTGTCCCAATAGGAGGCTACGGAATGAAGCAAGGGACAGGTCACACTTGAGAGTCTTTGCTTTAATTCTAGACTCTAGGACTGGGTCTTACTTGACTTAGCAGTGCCTCTTACACATGACCTATCACTTAATGTTTGTTTATTCACCAAACCAGAGTATCCTCAATAAATTCAGACTTTTTCCTTCTCTCATCGACTCATCCATCAGCCCAAAGAAAAGAACCAAGAAACTTAGCTAATAAATTCCTTTAAGTATATTCAGAGCGACCTCAAAAGACATGGGGGACTACTGCAATAATCACCTAATGAGTATACTGTTTTCACTCCTGTCTTTCTCCAACTTATTATCTACACAGCAACTATTACCTTTATCATGTCATTTCTCTGCTTAAAATGCTTCAATAGCTTCCAACTGCACCTGGAATAGAATCCAGACCTCCTAAAATGACCCAAGAGGTCTTGCCTGACCCTTTCTCATAACCACTATTCTTGCAAACGGCTGTGGCTTTCTGTGAATTCCTCCAGGTGGTCAAGCTTTCTTTCCGGCCTAATGGCCTATGCTCAAGTTCCCAGCGCTTGGAATACACTCTACCTCCTGCTCTTCAAGGGGCTATATTTCATATCATTTAGGTATCAGGTTAAATCCTTTCCCTTCCGAGGATGCCATCTCTAACCACTCTTCTAATGTACCACCATCGTGACCCCTCACAGCATCCAGTTTGCTTCCTTCTTAGCACTTAACATTATTTGCAATTATATATTTCTGTTATTTGATTAGTGTCTGTCTCCCACACCCGACTGAGTTAACCTAGACGAGGGTCTGCATCAGTTCTTCTCACCTCATATTCCTAGCGCCTAGCAGTATCTGGCAAGTGGCATGCACTAAATAAATATCTGCTAAACGAACAAATGACTGCTCCAAAGCCTAGGTAGGATCTGTGTTCCAGAGCGCTGCGGGGCTGGGAGTCCCAACATCAAAGGATGAAAGCGGATCTGCAGTTTGAAGAGTGGGTCGTGAAAAACCGCTTTGTCTTTACCCTGACCCTGTGGCTCCAGCCAGCAAGGATACCTCAGGCTCCGATTCAAACGAACAAGAGGGGGAAGAGGGAAGGGGCAATCCTGGGCAGCGGAAGGGGCGCGCGCCTCAAACCTCCAGAGCAGGGAGAAAGGGGCTGGTGACCCGGTACGCAGCGCCTCACGCGGATGAATGGGAAACGCGCGAACCAACCCCCACGGCCCGGCGAAGCTGGTCACCCGCCCTCTCTCTCTCTCTCTCCGGAGACTCCAGCCTTTCTTTTCCTCCTTACCATCGTGACGACAGACAAATGTCGCAGGATACTCGCCGCCGACCCAGCTGTCGTGCGTCCCTCGCGCCTGAAGTAACTATAGCAGGGATCGAACCGCGCTGCTTCTAGAGAAATGGCCGCCAAAAAAGCAGCGTGACCTTTTACCTCTGACTTCAGCTCTTCCGCTTCTGTGATTGGACGCAAAGAGATCTGTGCTGATTGGAGGAGGTGGCTGGGCCGTATGTCCTGGCAACCGGCGGTACAGCGTGCGTTTGTGCCTTTTCTGCGACGTGCAGGCCTGTGGGAAACCATCGGCCGCTGGACGCGGGAGGGTCCCTGCTCGCCTGCAAAGACAATGAGCCCGACAGGTTTCTGGTCTGCTCGCCTGCCTCGAGGGTTAGGCTAAAAGATGCCGTGCATCCTGTAGCGCGGACATTTCTCGCCAGCCTAACGAATGGGGCATTCCTTTGTCCTTTTATAACTGTGAGAACGAGTTTGGGACCCTTGAGTTCTCAGATTCTCTGATTTGGGGCCTCCTCTGCCACGGCCCCCTTCTACCTGACTGTTCTCTATTCTGTAACGTTCATTTCAACCCGCTCTATAGGAAGTGGGAGAAGCAAGACTAGACTAAGGGAGGTGAAACGCACCGAAGAAAGTCAAGTACAGAATGAATTTCAGATGAAGTCAAATTGAGACAACGGTGTGGTGATCACCTTGTCGATCTGTTTCTTTTGCATCACCAGCGGAAACCCAATACAGTCTTTTTACTTGCATTTATAATTAAGGACGAGGGGGATGTTTACTCTATCATGAACTAATCCTTGACAGTATAGTGGTATTGATCAGAATCTCACTTGTTTTTCTCCTGTATAGACTTTCAGGTCACTCAGATCTGAAATGCTAAATACAGTTCTTAGAGAATACGCACTTTGAATAGTACTGTTTTTTGGTTCTATTTTTGCAGCCCTTAGGAGATAAATTTGGAATTTCGGTTTAAATGTTGCATATTGTGGCATTATGGAGTAGAGGATAAGACTTGGTAGGCAGCCGGAATTCATCTCATGGGGGTGGTGTTGGACAGTTTCTTTACCCACTTAGGCCTTTGTTTCTTCAGCTGTAAGTGGATTTAAAAACAGTACTATCCACAGGGTTGTTAGGATTAAATAATTAATGCGAAACAGGTTAGGACTGTGCTTGGTCATGTAAGGGCCCAGTAGATGTTCACCATTATTTTAAGGTCCATGTAAATGTTGGAGAATGTTGGCAAAATACAGTAATTTGTTTTAATGCAGTGTGTGCCAAACAGTTGGAATTATTTACCCCAAAGTTAAGTTCCCTTAGTTCCACCATCATTTAATGGATATTTAGCCTTTGTACAGACTTTGAGTTCCACCTATGTGCCAGGCTACTTCACAATCGTTATAATGGAAATCATACCACAAAGACTGTGATTTAGTGGTTATGGCCCCATTTTAGAGATGAGAAACAGGTTTAGCGGTAACTTGAGCAGGGACACACAGCGGGGCTTCAACTTAAAAACTCTTATTTCTGCTGCATGAAGCTAACTTTCAAAAGCTTAGTATATACTTTAGAAGTCTGACTTTTATTTTAGCTGTTAGTGAAGGGAAACAAAATATTACTGTAATTTCTATATAGTTGTGTTTAAAGTTCGTTTTTCTCGTGTTAAATAGTAATCTTACCTTATGTGGATCCTAGAGCAAATTAAGTCTGAAACATCACTGGAGGCAAAAATGATAAAACTGAAGCTGTCCTACTTTAGGCACATAATGAAGGGCAGGGTTCTTTGGAAAAGACAATAATGTTGGGGAAAATAGAAGGCAGCAGGAAAAGAGAAAGACCAAATATGAAATGAATTGACTCCCTAAAAGAAGCCCTAGGCATGAGTCAACAGTTGTGCAGCTGGGCTGTTGAGGAGAGAACACTGTGGACATCACTTATTCGTAGGGTCACCAGGAGTCAGGTTTAGTCCACACTAAATTAGTTCTAGCAGCTGTCAGGCTATGTTATTTATAGTTGCTGCAATGCTGAAAACAAAAACATTTAAAATACTACACTTGGTACCATCAATATTTGGTTAAGTCTCTGGACTTCTCTCTCCAGGCCTTGGTTTTGCATTAGTCAAATTAAAAGATTGAAATAGATTATGTTAAGGGCATTTTCAGCTTTAATGTATTATTAATTTATTAGTAATATAAATATTTAACATAGTCTCTGATATTTTAAATTAATAATGGAAAAATGAAGATTGAAATAAAGAATATCTCTTGCATTGTAACTATGCTTTCAATTATGAAACTAATTATAACATTGATTATTAATAATAAATATTAATTATCATCTCCCAAATAAAGGACAGAATAGTTGTTCAATTCAGGTAACAATAAGTTTCTTATAGATTAAAACTTTGAGTTTTCCATGTATGTTGAGAATGCTATGCAGTAAAATTATTTTAAAACCATACACTATAAAATGAGGTTTTGAAGTGATATGGTTAATACTTTTATCTTAATTCTCAAAGTACAGTAGAACAATTATAAATATAGTAAATTAAGGGGAACTAAAACCGGTTTGTTTCTGTCTGATTATCATTTTCTGTTAGATTATATTATTGACAGTGAAAAAGAAAATTGATCAGCAGAAAATATTTTTATTCATAATATAATTCATTTAGCTATAATTATTTAGACTCAAGAAAAGTTTTCTTTTCCCTGTAGGTGCATATTTTGTTTGGGGAAAGTCTAGATCTATATAACAATAATATGTAAATCTTGGATCTATAAAACAATAATATGTAAGCCAGCAACACCATTACGGCTGCCATTTATTGAGCGCTTGTGTGCTAATACTTTACATAAATTGTCTCATTTAATCCTCATAGCAATTCTATGAAGTTGGTATTATTAGCTAGAATTGCTAAGTAACTTGCTCGAAGTTCCATAAGGAATAAGCCAGGATCTGTCTTTTCCCAAACTTTGCTCCTTAGCTCTTCTATTCCAAACTGAAAGAACCTCAGGAAAACAAATGAAGCATCTGAATTTAATTCCACACATAGTTCATAGCCTCAGTAAGACAGTGAAATTCTTATACTGAAGACTGTGAATTATTTTGAAATATGTGACTGTTGACTTAATTACCCATACACATGACCTTCTGTATAGCACCAGACTCATCTGTCAGTTTCTGAATCAGGTTTTGGTGAGTGGTCAAAGTTAAGATCATTCATATCAGAATGTCTGCTATGCTTTATTTCATTTTCTATCTATAAGCAGACAGAGGGCCCACAGAAAGCTTCTGGGAGTTAAAGTTAGAGGAAGACTTTCTTAGCTTCTTATAAACCTATCTCCTCTTTTGAATGGTAGTCATTCACAGGCCTGCTTAAATAGACATTTCCCACAGTCCCCTGCTGATTCTGAATGAACAGATTCTCAGCCCCCTGCTGACTGGTGAATATATTGCTTATCGTCAATTTTACTCTTTACTGACAGCCTTCATAATAACTAGCTTAGAAGACAAATGACATGATAGACTCTCTGACAACTCATTTAGCAAGAATACGGTAGATTCTTGCCGAATATCCCTACTGATTTAATGTGAACTCACAGTAGTTTTTGTCATGATGAAAGAAGAAAGGATGATATTAAGAATTATTGCCTTAAAGAAGTTATGATTCATATATACAATGGAATATTACTCAGCCATTAAAAAAAATATGAAATCCTGCCATTTGCAATGATATGGATGGACCTAGAGGTTATTATGCTGAGTGAAATAAGTCAGAGAAAGATAAATACCATATGATTTCACTTATATGCAGGATCTAAAGAACAAAAAAACCAAATTAATCAAAAACAGACTCACAAATATAGAGGACAATCTGGTGACAACCAGAGGGAAGGTAGGTAGGGGAGTTGGGAGAAAGGGGCGAAGAGTTAAAGAAGTACAAATTAGTAGTTGGTAGATGGTCATGGGTTTGGGGAACATGGCATAGGGATGCAGTCAGCAGTAATGTAATGGCTAGGTGGAGAGCCAGAGGCAAGAAAGCAATTAGGGGGATTGTTTTATAAACTATATAAATGTCTAACCAATGTACTGTATACTTGAAACTAATAATAAAATAACATTTAGAAAAAGAATTATTACTTTGTCAAAAGTAGCATAATGCCTCTTTGAATTGGATTTAATGAAGAAGTCACCATGTAGATTATAGCATTTTGCCTTTGCACAGGCTGTTCCCTCTTCATGGAATGCCTGTCTCTGCCTTTCTGCCTACCTTTCCAGATGGTACATTCAGTGTGAGCCCTTCCCAGACTCCCATGGCATCACTCCTTCCTCTGGGCTCTGACAATACTTTTTTTCTACCTCTGTTTTAGCAGTTAACGTGTTGCAGTGTAGTCTGTATAATTATTTGTCTGTCTTTACTCAACTAGAAGCTTCTTGGACACAGGGACCATAGCATGCTTATTCATCTTTGCATCCCCTGCACCCAGAACAGTGCCTACCAGCCAGAGTAGGTGCTCGGTTACTGATTGTTAAATGACTGCCCTACCATCGTATTAGATTTTTCTTGTTGGGGTCCAGACTTACTTAGAGTATGGTGATTTCGATCCTAGAAACTATCGGCAAGGCCCAGATCTGCTAATTCCTTGATGTGTAGCCTTTCAAGTTTTCCCATTTTATGAAATGGGGATTGTAATGATACCTGCCTCATGGAAGTAAGTTTCTGCAAATGTTTTCAGTTTTATTCATAGCTATAGATCTATTCAGATTTTCTGATGTTTATTCTTGAGTTGATTAATGTAATTTATATTTTCCTAAGAATCTTTCATATCTTGTTTTAATTTATTTTCACAAACTAGTAATAAGTATTCTATTTGTAGATTTCCTCTATACATTTGGTTATATTCCATTCCTAATCTGTGTATGTATGTGTGTCTGTGCACACTCACACTCTATCTTTTCCTCTTTCTAGAGAGAAATATGTTAAAATGTTAATAGTGGCTCTCTCTTCTGGTTGATAACATTATGGGTTATTTTTATATTTTTCTGTTTTTTTCCAAGTGTTCAGAAATTATCGTATATATTTCTTAACATATTCACACACACAAAAAATGCTTAAAGAAAAATCCCTTTCAATTTCTTTATTTCCAAGAGAGGAAGCTGAGGCCAGGAACATTACATATGTGGATAATGGCCTTAGATTGGAATGAGAACACCGGCACTGGCTCAGCCCTTTTTGCTGAGAGCCATGAAACCACAATGATTTCTCTAGTTCTCGTCTGATGAAAGGAAACGGAGCTGCTAAACCA